AAAAAAGTTCTATTCCAAATGTGCAGCCCTGGCGCGAGCACGTGTCCAGAACGATCACGTGATTGCACACAAATCATCCGCGGATCCGCGCAGCGAGCCTGGGCCTGACTTTTTTTTTTTTTTTTTTGGAAAAATCCTGACGGGTTCATTTGCACCCTTCGCACCCCCCTGGATCCGCCCCTGTCCTTTGTGGTCATTGCCAGTGGTATATTTATAGGTTCGAATGCTATTTGTTGGAATCGGCGATTTCCTGCACTCAGTATGTTCTGAAAATGGAAAAAAGGTGCATGCCTCCGTCTTTGTGTACACATGTGCCTGCATCATTGTGTCCATAATTTTCACCGCATTATGATGTTCCCCTAGATGGCCGACGAGTCGCTATCGTTCGACGAGCAGATTCTTGAAGCTGCCAAGGCGATCGCACTGGCGACGAGCGCCCTGATCAAGTGGGCAACGGCAACACAACGAGAGCTGGTGACACAGGGCAGGGTATGTGCAGAGAAGTGTTATTTATCCATGCTTTTGCATTATTATAACCCTAAGTGTTTTGCTACTAGAACACCACTGCGATGAATATTGGTAGGGACAGTCAGACTTTGACCCATCTCTCTCTCTCTTTTTGTCAAATCTACCTTGAAGTATATGTGTTGAGTAGTTGATCTTGCTGGGAGCTTCTTTCTATGTGAGTGCGGTGCACCTCTGTGGCCAGGTTTTCAATCTCTTTAGGAATCCTGATGCGAATCATGTCTTGGAATCACTCTCCTTTGACCCCCTATGTGTGTGTGTGTGTGTGTGTGTGTGTGTGTGTGTGTGTGTGTGTGTGTGTGTCTGTGTGTCTGTGTGTGTGTGTATGTGTGTGCGTGCGTGTGTGTCTGTGTATCTGTGTGCGCTTGTGTGTGTGTGTGTGTTTTCCCGCCGGCAGGTGACCACCAGTGGGTCTAGGTACATTCAGGATGACGATGGAGCTTGGTCAGATGGTCTGGTGTCAGCGGTACGTCTTCTTTTTATCGTCACAATTATATGTATTTTGTGTGTGTGTGTCTCTCTCTCCCTCTTTCTTGCCAAGTGTATAACTTCCAATGCTAAGATAGTTTTGTTGGTTGCTTTTTCCTGGGTACCATTGTGCCCTTTGTACCGGTACCAAGCTGCACACTGGGACCTGTGATTGAGCTGTGATCAGTGGCCGGGCATGGCTATTTTCTGGGGATTATAGAATATATACCATGCTTTAACTTCTTAAAATCTCACTGCTTCTTGTGTTCTGGCAGGCCAAGATGGTGGCTGAGATGACCAGTCAGCTGTGCGAAGCCGCCAACCTGCTGGTACGCGGCCAGGCCAGCGAAGACAAGCTGATTGCAGCCTCCATGGGCGTGTCACAGGCAACGATCCAGTTGATAATGGCGTGCCAGGTCAAGGCAGATCCTGACAGCGAATCGGCCGGAAAACTACAGGTAGGCTGAGAATTACAGTATACACAGCAGTGATTCTGGCACCGGGCTGGTGAAGACCTCTATGGTCCAGTTCTCTAGCTCACTGCTGTACTGGAAATCCGGTGGTATCTAGACAGTGTGCATGGGGTAAAGTTCCAGTCTGGTGCAGTCGTACTGGGACCGTGCAGTTGTGACATGGCCACTGGGCCAAGCCAAAAGGTAGAGAGTGAGGGAGGGAGGGAGAAAAAGAGAGAGAGAGAGCTGTAGTTAGTGCATGTACCGGCAGTCGCCACTAGAGCCAAGCAGTGTGCAACCGCATCTCCAGTCACCGTGACTGAATACATCAATAGCAGAAGTGCTAGCCATACACAGAGCCTACACTGCAGACAGTGAGTGTAGCCGTAATACAACACGCCAAGTAATAGTATGTTGCATACGACGGGTGTAGCTACTGGTCACCTACGGAGCAGCAGTTGCCCTCTTCCGTATTGTGGAATCTACAAACTGCACGGCATGGCATTCCACAGGTGCCATGCAAGAGCGGGAGCACACACGACTCCGGAACCGCTCCGAGGTTGCTTGGAAACGTGCTCCCTCTTGAGCCGCACATGCGTGTCGCCGAGAATACTTGAACTCCTTTTGGCAATCTGCCAGTGATCTCGGGTGGAGATCCTTGGCAGATTTTGCGGCTCAGCCACCTTCGCCCATGCACACTCCTTCATGAGTCTTGAAATAGGATGCCCAGCAAACAAACAGGATTACAGGATTAAAATACACGAAGTGTTCTACACTTAAAAAATAAATTTGAAGAATTTCTTGAGAGCTTCATGATTTTGACCACTTGTAATGGCCACAAGCAGATCTTCACGTTTGGTCTCTACGCCGTCCACTATTACATAGTTTTGTAAACAAAAAATATGAACAATTAATTGTACTTTTAAAAAATACACACAATTTCCCACCTTGCCTCGAACGAGGACGATACTCGATGTTATGATCAAGCCTGTCCAAGTCACTGATGGCATTATATATTATATTCTGAGCAAAAGTGTCTTGAAACCCCAGCCAAG